GTATCCCTCTCCAAGACCTTTGTCATGAAGGGATGTTGTATTTTGTCAAAAGCTTTTTCGGCATCGAATGAGATGATGTGGTTTTTATTTTTCAGCTTGTATATATGGTGGATTACGTTGACAGATTTTCATACGTTGAACCATCCCTGCATCTCTGGGATGAAACCAACTTGATCATCATGGATGATGGTTCTGATGTGTTCTTGGATTCAATTTGCCAGTATTTTACTTAGTATTTTTGCATCAATGTTCATGAGTGAGTTTGGTCTGTAATTCTCTTTCTTAGTAATGTCTTTCTGTGGTTTGGGTATCAACATAATTGTAGACTCATAAAAAGAGTTTGGCAATGTTCCTTCTGTTTCTATTGTGTGGAATAATTTGAAGAGTATTGGTATTAATTCTTCTATGAAAATCTTGTAGAATTCTGAACTGAAACCATTTGGTAGTGGCCTTTTTTTGGTTGGGAGACTTTTTATGCCTGTTTCTATTTCTTCAGCAGTTATAGGTCTGTTTAATGTGCTTATTTGGTCTTGATTTAATTTTGGTAAGTGATATACATCCAGAAAGTTGTCCATTTCCTTTCAGTTTTTCAGTTTTGTGGAGTACAGGTTTTTGAAATATGACCTGATAATTCTCTGTATTTCCTCTGTGTCTGTTGTTATGTCCTCCTTTTCATTTGTGATTTTGTTAATTTGGATATTCTTTCTCTGCCTTTTGGTTAGTTTGGATAAAGGTTTGCCTATTTTGTTGATTTTCTCGAAGAACTAACTTTTTGTCTCATTGATTCTTTGCATTGTTTTCTTTGTTTCTATTTTGTTGATTTCATCTCTCAATTTGATTATTTCTTTCCATCTAGTTCTCTTGGGTGAGTTTGCTTCTTTTTGCTCTAAAGTTTTCAAATGTTCTGTTAATTCACTAGTCTGGGATTTTTCCAGCTTATTTATGTAGGCGTTTAGAGCTATGAACTTGCCTCTTAACACTGCTCTCATTATGCCCTATAAATTTGAGTATGTTGTGTGGTCATTTTCATTTAAATTTAGGAAGTCTTTAATTTTTCCCTTTATTTCTTCCTTGACCCATTGATGATTCAGGTGAGCACTGTTTAATTTCCATGTATTTGTGTGCTTTCTGGAATTAGTATTGCTGCTGATTTCTAGTTTTAAGCCATGGTGATCTGATAAGATACATGGGTGCCCCGCACTACCGTCTCGCCCGCAAGAACGACGCGGGACACTTAGGATTCTTCTGCAGTAAAGCTTTATGCGTCTTGAGAGGGAGAGCATAAGCTTACATGGCGGAGACCCCGAATGAGGGGAACCCAGCCCTTATAAAGGAAACAGTCCTCGCTTCTGACGTGTCACTCTTGGATTGGTTCACTGCCCATTATCCCAGATGATGCCTCGGGAGTAGGCAGGGACGCAGCGGTCAAGCACGTGCGCTGGGATTAAAGGCGTGTGCTACATCACCTTGAACTCACAGAGATCTGCCTGTTTCTGCCTCCCAGGCAATGGGACCAAAGGCGTATACTACCACGCCTTGAGGTCACAGAGGTCAATCTGCCTCTGTCTCCCAGGCATCAGGACTAAAGGCGTGTACCGCCACACCTTGGGGTCACAGAGGTCAATCTCTA